AACAGTTACACTTTCAATGGTTTTCAAGAAATCTTGAACTTTGATGATATAAAAATGATCTTGGAACGTGATACAACAATCTCGGTGGTGCCTCAGAGTCGCTACTCGAGTGTAAAGGGTTAATCTTGATTCAATGCAAAAAACGAAATATTGAGATATTAATTTTCAGCAGGAATAAAAAATATTAGTATACAACGATGTTCGCTGGTTCATTAGAAACAAACGGACTGTTTGTTCGGAAAAATAGCAAATCGAAACAATGTCGAGTCCCGCGACTTTTCGAAAAAGCAGTAACGAATATTTATTTATTAATCAACTTTTTCGATGCGGAAAGGAACATTTTTGACACTCGTATTTTGCGCTTATGCGCGCCGTTTATTGCACAGAGACGTGTTCATATAATTTACAAAAAGTGTTATAAATTACTCGCTTCGAGATTTTGGATTCGTACAAAATTCTAAAATAATTAATCTTGATTCGATGCAAAAAATCGAAATATCGTGATATTAATTTTCAACTGGAATAATGTTAGCATACAACGATGTTCGCTGGTTCATTAAAAACGATCAAAAGATCGAAATATTGAGATATTAATTTTCAGACTGGAATAATGTTAGCATACTGTTAGCGGACTGTTTGTTCGGAAAAACAGCAAATCGAAACAATGTCGAGTCCCGGAACTTTTCGAAAAAGCAGTAACGAAGGGACGTTGTCGAAAAATTCCGTGCACGTAACTCGGTTCTAAAACTATCCCGCACCGAGTTGCAGAAATGCTATATAGCGTTGGAAATTGCGGAAAGCAATCGCTATCTGTATCCTCTTGAAACGAGATTTCAACGATAACCGTTCTCGCCGAAGAAACAGGACACGATAAATCACTGTAAATAAACTCCTTGACTGCGGAGGAGTGGCACAAACGATAACGGCGTTTGTACTCCATTGTGACAAGACAAGCGAAATAATACTTACGAGATATGGATACACAGATGTGTAACTTAAAAGACGTTCGGTGCCGCGGAGAAATAAAATGATTTATATGCGACTTGTTCGTATTTTCGTGTGAGCCGCGGGAGCCATCCGTTTTAATTAATCTCAGAACAAAGCCGTTCCATGGCGAATCGATCATTTTTACTGCCGACGCGTTCGGATTTTGTTTAGACTGAAATATATTGCAGTCGATACTGTTGTAAAATCAAGGAAACTTTGAGAGATAGGGAGAGAGGGGGGAAGCGTGAGAGACGGAGAAAGAGAGAGGAGAGAGAGAAAGAGAGAGACGGAGAGAGAGAGAAAGACAAAAAGAGAGAGCGAGAGAGAGAGAGAAAGACAAAAAGAGAGAGCGAGAGAGAGTAAGAGAGAGCAAGAGAGAGCGCAGGAGAGAGTGAGAGATAGCGAGAGATAGCGCGAGAGAGTGCGAGAGAGAGTGAGGGACAGCGAGAGAGAGCGCGAGAGAGAGTGAGATATAGCGCGAGAGAGCGCGAGAGAGAGCGCGAGAGAGCGAGAGAGAGCGAGAGAGAGCGACAGACAGTAAGAGAGCGCAAGAAAGAGCGAGAGTAAGAGAGAGCGAGAGAGAGAGAGAAAGAGAGGAAGGGAATGAGGAAAAGTAAGGGAGAGAGCGAGGGAGAGGGGGGAGGGAGAGAGAACAGAAAATAATAAACGTCGGTCGTAAATTCAGTCCGATTCCCGATTTCGTAAATGGATGAATAAAAATGTAAATTGGATAATCAGAATGTGCGCTGAATTAATTTGCACACTGGGTAATTTTATTATTATGATGCCCGTGGGGGCACGGATGAATATGGATATAAACTATGTGACGTACCTACATACCCACCGAGGAAATTAAGATCACGAATTCCATGCTGAATATCTGCTAAAATTCAAATTATCTTGCTTAATGATAAATAAAAAGCTCGTCACAATAGAAATTATATGGTCGTTTCATGCAGAAATAATTCTTATCCGTCGCGAAGAACGTTCGAAATTTATTTTATGATTTGTATTTGCAACAGGAAAACGATTGTATCTCTCAATTAAATTCTTCACTGAAAATTGATTGAAAATGATATATAAAAAATAATATATATATAGAAATGATATATAAATACAAAATGATATATAAATATCAAGACTATACATATATTTAGGTATTATACAATTAATTGTTATTTGGCGAAGAACGTTTCAAATGACTGTATCCGTATTGAAAACATTTCGCATAAATACAGAGTAAATCAACATGAAGATTGTATCTTCAGTTAATATAAAAATAATTGTTATCTGGCGAAGAACGTTTCGAATTCATTTTGTCCGAACGTACATACGTACAGTCGCGTCGGAAAGTACGTTAACGCCTTTTCAAACGGAATAAAATTTTTTGAATTGGTTCAAAAAACTTGAATATTTTTAAGATGTTAGATCGACTAGTTCTTTTTTCTATGAAACGAGTATACAAGAAGTTTTTTAGATTGCAACTGATTGGAATGATAAACAAATTTTAAAATGATGTTTTTTCAACTTTCTTATCTGCGACCATGACGATATAAATTACCGTGGTCTACAAAATGCATTTTTTTTCATTTTCTTCATGGACTCAGATAAAAAAGTGGAAAAAACATCGTTTTTAATTTTTCATCATTCCAATCACTTGCAATCTAAAAACTTTTCGTACACTCGTTTCATAGAAAAAAAACTAGTCACTCCAGCATCTAAAAAATATCCAAGTCTTTTTTTAACAAATTTTAAAAAAGTTATTCCGTTCGAAAAGTCGTTATCGTACTTTCCGTGGCGACTGTACACGTGTTTGCACGAAATGAATTCGAAACGTTCTTCCCCAGACAACAATTATTTTTGTATTAACATGTGTTAACGTACTTTCCGAGTCGACTGTATGCATAAAATACTCGCACACAGCTCCGTGTGCACCGTATTTCGGTTAATACGTTTGATTAGAGCCCCGAGCCTTGCCTTTCGTTTTTATTCGAGACGCAACTCGGTCAAATTGAGGCACGCAATATGTTCCAGAACGCGACTTCAATATCTGCTGCCAGTTTAATATCGTTTGTTTGAACAGCGGAGGTAAACTATGATGTAGAAATTTGCACAGCGTCGCCAACTCTAAGTCTACAAGCAATTTTGCCGGTTGCGAATTTAAACGGCTAAATACCGATGCAAGATCTTCGTTATACGTACGCGTACGTACATACATACATACATGTATACATACATATAGGGTGTCTATTTATCGTGACCGATGAATATACAGTAAGTTTTTATAGTTATTCATTCTACTGTCCATATTTTGTCCGGAATGGTCCATTTTTGTGCACAAGCTGAGCGCGAATTAGGGAGAATTTACTGTACCGTTTAATTCGACCCGTTTTTGATAATTAATTATTTTTTTATTATATTTATTTATTATTATTATATTTATTTATTATTATAATTAATTCGACCCGATTGTCAACGATTATAAAAACATAGTACAAAGTCGGAATAATCGTATCTCTCGTTCCCAAATTGTCCATTTTTCTGCACAATCTAAGCGTCAGTTAGGAAGACAGTACTGTATTTTGTGTCACGACGAGTATACTCGTCGTGCGTAAAACACAGCAACCATTGGCTATTGAAATTGTAATTTCAGTGAAAACAAAAATATGTTCTCATATTTCAATATGTTTAGGATATTTTGAGGTCAACACAGTAAATTCTCTCTAATTCGCGTTCAGATTGCGCACAAAAATGGACAATTTGGAAAGAGGAGATACGATTATTCTAGCCTCGCGGCTCGTTTTTATAGTTATTCATTCTACCGTCCATTTCTTGTCCCGAATGGTCCATTTTGGTGCACAAGCTGAGCGCGAATTAGGGAGAATTTACTGTACTGTTTAATTCGGTCCAATATATTGTAACAAATATAAATATTGGAAACTGGTAAAAAGTCGATCCAATATTTTAACAGCGACGCTTACTCTGTGTTCGACGAGTATACTCGTCGTCTCTCGATTCTCGCGACACATATAGGGTGCGCGCTCTGAAAAGGAGGCGCCACGGTGAACCGGTTAATCGGCGTTAAACATTTTTCTTATGCACTTTGTTCCGATGGGTCGCGCTCGTACCAGCCTCCGGAAGAGCGGAAATCGTTGGTTCAATGGCTGCCAATGTCGCGTAATGTTCTCTTTTTATTATAAAATAATGCTTGGTCGCAGTTTTGGAAATCTGTTGCAGTTCCATGCAGTAATGGAACGACTTAAACAAACTGTAGACGATAGTTCTATGAAGCGGCTCGATTCGACAGAACTTGTACAATTGTCGATGATTCGGTAAATATAGAAATTAGTATGTTGGTAAATGTTAATATGCACTCTGCTTTGGGAGAGTTTTCTGATATTACCTGTCCACTGGACTGCAGGTTTCACGAAGTTCTGAGAAAAATTAGTACAGTAAATTCTCCTCAATTTCAGTTTGTAAACGAAAATAGACAATTTAGGAAAAGGAGATATTTTATAGTTGCCGATTGCCAACAATTGTAAAAACAAGGTGCGAGGCTCGAATGATCGTGTCTCCTCTTCCCGAATTGTCCATTTCTGTGCGCAATCCGAGCGTCAGTTAGGGAGACATTACTGTAATCGGCCGTATTCCGCGATGTCGAACGGTCGGAAAATACTTCGGTCGGGTAGGATTTCACGAAATTCCGTAGCAAAAGGGGGAAACTAATTTTCGAGTATTGTCGTAACGCGATGTGACAGTAAAATCGTTTTCAGTTAGGAGCGCGCTCCTGCAAGCTCTACAACGTTGACGAGTTAATCTACTTTATCATCTCTCTCCGCTCCTGCGAAACTTTCGCTGGGGACAGTTCCGAAGGAGCACGCGTACAGCAATTTTTAGCCGTGTGCATAATTTAAGCCAAGTTCCCCTTCCGGAGTGATCGTAGAAAATTATTTCTCTATAATCCTCGAACAAATCCGATTTCGCTAATTGCATCTTCTCTTTTGTTTTCGCAGCCAACACTAGCCAATACGCGCATTACGTTTTTAATACCTTGGACCAGGATCACAGCGGTATTCTCAGCTTCGAGGTAAGTGGATTCGTTGATTAGTACTATGTATTTAGGATAACAGAGCGATTCGACTTTTTTTCGAAATATTTCGCACGCTCCTCGAGGGAGAATTACCCTTTTTTTTTCCTTTTCAATTGGATTTCTTTAGATCAGCTGGCGACGGTAATTTCAATCAATTGTGTTTCCGTTCGAAAATGACACGACACGAATTGAATACGACAGTCATATTTTCTGAAAATGTAACACGATGTTAACCCTTTGCACTCGGAACAGATTTTGCGAGCATTGCGATTTCGTTGCACAGATGCGAATTGAAAGAAAAATCATTACGCTGCTCGAAAATTTTATAGGAACCGATAAATAAAAGATTTTGCGTTTTCGATTATGCATTTTACGTGATTATTTTACAGTATGAAGGGAAATAATAATTAAAAAGAGATGCCACTTTGATATGAGTACATTGTGTGTCGCCGTATCGGCGACATCCGTGTGTAAAGAGTTAATCCTTTTTTCTTTCTATTTTTATATCATTTTTCACCTAATTCTTAGGATGCGTCTGCGTAATGAATCGAACTCGTACGCGGTTAAAGAGTTAATAAAATGATCGCTTTCAATCCGAAAGAAGGGGATGCCTTGCAACGATGGATGCCGATTGCGCGGTCTTGTGCAACCGTTCGCTCCTTGTACAATTAGTCCTCGGGACAATTGAATAGGCAAGTATGCGCGAAACAAATATCCGGCGAAGATTAATGCTAATTACCTGGCGGGGCTTCGATAATGAGCGGCCTAGTCCTAACTAAGTTTTCCAATCAATAATCAGGGCCGAATTAATCGATGATTCGCGGTTAATTTGCAGATCGATGTTCCATTGGTCCCCTCCTCTCCCGCTCTCTCTCACTCTCTCTCTTCGAGTCTCTCGCTCGCACTCTCTCTCTCATCGAGTTTCTCTCTCTCTCTCTCTCTCTTTCTTCGAGTTTCTCTCTCACACACTCTCTCTCTCTTCGAGACTCTCTTTCACACACTCTCTCTCTCTCGAAGTCTCTCTCACTCTCTCTAAGTCTCTCTCGCGCGCTCTCTCTCCCTCTCTCGGAGTCTCTCTCACTCGCTCTCTCCCTCTCTCTAAGTCTCTCTCCCCCTCTCTCGCTCTCTCTCCCACTCTCTGAATTTCTCTCTCCCTCTTTCTCGCTCTCTCTCCTCCTTTGTGAGTCTCTCTCTCACCCTTTCCCTCTCTCTGAATCTCTCTCTCCCTCTCTCTCGCACTCTCTCACTTTCTCTCCCCCTCTGTGAGTCTCTCTCTCACCCTTTCCCTCTCTCTCGCACTCTCTCACTTTCTCTCCCCCTCTGTGAGTCTCTCTCTCACCCTTTCCCTCTCTCTCGCACTCTCTCACTTTCTCTCCCCCTCTGTGAGTCTCTCTCTCACCCTTTCCCTCTCTCTCGCACTCTCTCACTTTCTCTCCCCCTCTGTGAGTCTCTCTCTCACTCTTTCTCTCTTTCTGAATCTCTCTCTCCCTCTCTTCCTCGCTCTCTGTCGTTCTCTCTCGCGCTCTCTCTCTCTCTCTCTATCTATCTCTCTATCTACCTATCTCTCTCTCTCTCTCCCTCTCTCCTGTTTACGATTTTCCACTAGAGAAATAAAAAGACCAGACGAAGTCGTCGGAGGATAATTACGAACGAACACAATTATCTCTGGTGGCTTCAGACTGAAAATGTACTTTGTGTAATTAGCCCTCGAGTTGCTCCAAACTCGCACATTACCGTGGCTCTCCGCGCAGCCAACATTTTCCTCGTTCATTCTTCTCCTCTACTTTCGCGCACGATAAAGTTTTTACACTCACCTTTGACGTCCAACTCCATTTAATTAAGTCTTTCTATCAGATTCTTTTACCCCGAATTATTTCGAAAATAATACACGGCGATAGGTTGACGCGCGACGGATCGTAGAAACAAAAAAGCGGGGCGGGGAGGAGGGGGGCGAGGAGCAAATGTAACGGAATATTAAAAAAATATTTGCCTAAATGACACCTATAACACGGCGGGCGCGCGACAATAAAAAGCAGTGGCACGTTTTAAGCTATGACGCGTTCGTCGTCACGGTTCGCGCGTTAACTCTTTCGCCGGGCTACAAATCTGTGAAAACACGTCTGCAAAAGCCATAAAAAGAATACTGCAAGAAACATGGTCGCATCAACTACAATTGAAGGATCCGCAGCGGAGAGTTGGATCAGCTCCGTATTCTACGCACGGTTTTTACCGTGCGTCCTATTTCATGCGAAATAGGTGATTTTTCACTTAATCTGGAAAGGGGACAGTTTCGAGCACGTAATAAATGTTGTGGTCGCCCGGTAGTTTTGTATGTTCGCTACGTTTGGTGCAACGAACGGGTGGGTACTTTCATGAGCTTCGTCGATGCGTGATTTAGTATTCCCGAAACAATGTTTTCGGTATTGCGAAAAATCCTCGACCACGGAGAGAATTAAATTCTATTTATTAGAACAATCAGAAGCACGCGTGTACCACTTATACCGTGAAAGTTTATCAACTCGAATATTAGTCTATGTTATAAAAAAGCACGTTCGATTTTTTCGTATTTTTTAATCGGTACTCGATTTTTTATCGTATTCTGTTCGTTCACCCAAATAACTCGAAAATGGTTATTTTGAAATCTTATTTGAAAGACTGTTTAACACTATGCCGTCCGGTGGCACCACGCTGGTGCCATACAAAAACTGTCTGTTGTATGCCGATGGTACCACTTTGGTGGCATTTTAACACGTTGACCGCCGCGTCGGTCACTTTGTGGGTGACACTAATTTTTGACCAATTTTGAAAATTCATTTTCATTGTAATGTATTCGTACAAACTGAATTCGACCAGAATGTTTCGGATGCGAAAGAGTTCTAATCTCATCCACTATGATAAATTTCAACCTTCTAGGCTCGGTTTCATTAATTAAATTGCTTCGATTTCGTGGGAATTTTTTAGCGGGCGATTGTCGGCGCTGAACGTGTTAAAAAACTGAAATAACATTCGAGCTATATTTCTTGGGCGTTAGAAGGCAGCGAACTAACTATAGCATTGTGCTTATTTAACTAAGAATTAAGTACGAAAATTCTTGGATGACTTATCTTAATTTTAGGAATTTATATTAATCTTCGAATTCTTCTTCGATATTCTTTTTTAAATCTAAAATTTCCAAGCTATTATGCTGGCGTCAAACAAAAGAATCATATCTATTGGGTTGGCAACTAAGTAATTGCCGATTTGTTTAATGAAATAAAATTCTTTTTTTTACTTGGAACGAAGTTTAATCTGTAATGTATTNAGGGGACAGTTTCGAGCACGTAATAAATGTTGTGGTCGCCCGGTAGTTTTGTATGTTCGCTACGTTTGGTGCAACGAACGGGTGGGTACTTTCATGAGCTTCGTCGATGCGTGATTTAGTATTCCCGAAACAATGTTTTCGGTATTGCGAAAAATCCTCGACCACGGAGAGAATTAAATTCTATTTATTAGAACAATCAGAAGCACGCGTGTACCACTTATACCGTGAAAGTTTATCAACTCGAATATTAGTCTATGTTATAAAAAAGCACGTTCGATTTTTTCGTATTTTTTAATCGGTACTCGATTTTTTATCGTATTCTGTTCGTTCACCCAAATAACTCGAAAATGGTTATTTTGAAATCTTATTTGAAAGACTGTTTAACACTATGCCGTCCGGTGGCACCACGCTGGTGCCATACAAAAACTGTCTGTTGTATGCCGATGGTACCACTTTGGTGGCATTTTAACACGTTGACCGCCGCGTCGGTCACTTTGTGGGTGACACTAATTTTTGACCAATTTTGAAAATTCATTTTCATTGTAATGTATTCGTACAAACTGAATTCGACCAGAATGTTTCGGATGCGAAAGAGTTCTAATCTCATCCACTATGATAAATTTCAACCTTCTAGGCTCGGTTTCATTAATTAAATTGCTTCGATTTCGTGGGAATTTTTTAGCGGGCGATTGTCGGCGCTGAACGTGTTAAAAAACTGAAATAACATTCGAGCTATATTTCTTGGGCGTTAGAAGGCAGCGAACTAACTATAGCATTGTGCTTATTTAACTAAGAATTAAGTACGAAAATTCTTGGATGACTTATCTTAATTTTAGGAATTTATATTAATCTTCGAATTCTTCTTCGATATTCTTTTTTAAATCTAAAATTTCCAAGCTATTATGCTGGCGTCAAACAAAAGAATCATATCTATTGGGTTGGCAACTAAGTAATTGCCGATTTGTTTAATGAAATAAAATTCTTTTTTTTACTTGGAACGAAGTTTAATCTGTAATGTATTTTCCATTTTGTTCGATGACCTTTTGCCATCTCTCTGACAACTTGAAAGTTCCACGCTCGTAGAAAGTCTGATCCTTTTCGGCCAAAAACTGAGTTAAGTGAGATTTTACAGCGTCATCGTCATTAAAAGTTTTACCACGAAGGGAGTTGTCCAGGGATCGAAATAAGTGGTAATTCGATGGCGCGAGATCAGGGCTATATGGTGGGTGTAACATCAATTCCCCACCAATATCCATCAATTTTTGCCGAGTGGACAAAGACGTGTGCGGCCTAGCATTGTCGTGCTGGAAAATGACACCTTTACGATTGACCAATTCTGCTCGCTTTTCCTTGACCGCTGCATTCAATTTGTCCAGTTGCTAACATTCGCGGATAATAAAAAATAACATAATAATAATAATAATAATTTTATAATATAACATTTACGGATATCATAAAAATGGGAGTGAGAGACATCTATAACTAAAATAGGCAATTACTTAGTTGCCAACACAATAAGATCTGCGGACGGCATAGTGTTGACTTGCTTAAAAAATTGAATATATTTTTTTGGTAACTATTTGTCCTTTGAAACAGTTATTGCCGAATAACATAGTGTTATCTTGCTTAAAAAATTGAATATATTTTTTTGGTAACTATTTGTCCTTTGAAACAGTTATTGCCGAATAACATAGTG